TAACTTATCATTTTAGTCGTCAATTTGCCTTCAATGCACAGGTTAATATTTAAAAAGTGACATAACTGTGGCAACCCCGTTATTGACATGCAGGCATACAACGAAAATAAAGCCGAAAATGTTTAACAGCACACTTATCGTTCCAGTTGCCAGCAGTATTCTCATATTTTCAGTTGTTTTAAAATTTATCGCAATGATTATTGGAGTATTGGGAAATGTTACAGTTATAATATACACAATTTTGTTGTGTAAAGAAAAGACAGCGACATCTTACTTGATAGCAAACTTGGCATTTGCGGATCTTCTCGTGTGTTTAATATTTTATCCACTATGGATCATCGAGTTAATTCAGACTATATTAAACATTGAGAGTGATCAGGACATGTTTTGTAAGTTAAGTCGTGCCACGATCTTGTCTTTGCTGTTTGCTTCAGTCGCTACAATTCTCGCAATTACTGTTGATCGTTATTTATATATCGTGAAACCTCTGAAATATCCTCTGATTGTGACACGTCGACGAGTGTTCCTGGTTATTTCTGGAATCTGGTTAACTGCTTGTTGTTTTTGTGTTATATTTTATTTTCACTTTTTTAGCGTCGACAATGGAGTCAGAAGTATTTGCCGCTTAGCCCTGCCTCCTAACATCCGGCAATTTCTATTGGTTTCTTTTGTCTACATTCCTCTTTCTTTCATTTTTCTTCTGAATTTCCGAATTTTAAGTGTTTCTCGAAAACAACGCCGAAGAATCTCTGACGAATCCATGGTCGCAGGCATCAGCAACCACAACGAACATTCAGGCAGTATGAGAGTTGTACTTCGTCTATATCAGGCGTTTGCAGAGGCAAAAACATTTTCTTTTGTTATTACAGTGTTGGCGATCTGTTGCTTTTCACCAACAGTTATTACAACCGTATTACACGTGTCTTGTAGTGATTCATGTTGGTATGTTTGGAACGTGTTTGTTCACTACGAGCTTTTTGGCATAAACTCGATCGTGAACGCTTTCATCTACGGAATGAGGCATATCAAATACAGAAAAGCTTATGGACAAATTCTTTTCAAAATTCTTGATTGCAATTGTTGCAAGCGACCTGTGTAATGAAAAATTAACTTAAATTCTGCCCAATAATAACGATTCAGCGAGTGTTTCTGGCTATTTCCAGAATCCGGCTAGCGGCTTGATGTTAAGCAATCAATATCACACAATAAACACGTACTTGCCAGCAAAACGGATGCCTAGCTTGGGGCATTTTTATTACTGAGATGGGAATCTGTCCAACTTTTATCTATGGTAATATTAAGAAATAAAAGATATCTTTATCGTATCTACCTGGTGAACTGTAATAAAACTGGAAACGCTACCTCACATAGCGTGCATGGTACTTTAATTGTTGAAGCGATAAATTGAAGCAAAAAACTAAGTTTTTTCTCTGTTTTTCGTACCAAATGATTGTATTTTAGTTCTAGACATTGCTAGGTATTTACTCTAACGCGTCTTAAACGTTCAAAAACTTAGAACTAGGGATCCAAGGATAGTGCAAATTTAGATATATAGTGCTAAGCAACCAGACATTTGTCCCAACATAAACGTTTTGACTTATGCCAGTAAAAATATGGTTAAACATTACCCTTGATCAAACAGGAAATTACTCAAAGTACTCAAATTACGCGATATTGTAATATTAAATTATAATTTTTGTTGCTCATTTTAAGCCGGCGCAATTTTCTCAGTTTAGTATGTGGTACCGGATTGTTATCGGAACAGTTACTAAGATCTTTAATGTCCGAGATCTGAATAAATATACCAAATCTCTCAAATTAAAAAGAATTTGCTATTAATCATTGCTTTATATTGGCAAACGAAGATGTCGTGACGACCAAATCCGATACCGTGTGAACGAAGACCATATCTATAAAACAGCATGCAAAAGACTCTATTCCCTACGAATTTTCAAGTAAAGCTGGCGTTGCTCCTTCAATTATTGTAACGGTATACCTAGCTACAATTCGACCAATAATGAATGGAATACGCCGTCCCCGTGTGGCAATTATTTCAAAAGACTTGTCTGCTATGCTATATAGAATCCATCCAGAAAAGAGCCCTGAAGAGCCTTAATTCCAATATGCTGAATTGTATCCAGAAGTGCTAAAACTAGCTGGAATTGAAAAACTACCTGACGGAAGAACTACAATTTGCGAAAAATACATGAATAGAATGAAACTAGCGAATCACCCTTTACACCAACTAATGCCAAAGGTAAAAGAAGAGGACTGTACCTATGCGCTACGTTATAGAACTGAAAAGGTGCGAATGTATCAAAATGTAATTTTCACAAAATGTAATTTTTGTAGAACAAAAAAGGCGGAGGAATTTTTAAACTAACCTTTACACATTGTTGTGAACTGATATAATTAATAATGGTAATTGCACTGAGTGGAGTCCAATTTGGTGTGAAATCAAACACGTGATTACAATTTCCATTTTATCATTTTGGAATACAGATAATTAAACAAACTCAAAACGATTTATTGGCTGAAAGAACCGTAAACGGTGTGAAATGTGAGTAATGTGCATCTATTTTTGTCAAGAAATTCTGTGGGGCATTTAAAAATTACCGGGATCTATGAAAAAGTCGATCGGGATTTGCGCGCCTGGGTACGAGGTTGTTGCGCACGCTGTAATATTAATGACATCATCAATCGCGAATCAACTCATTAGTTTACGTAACAATCCATGTTTTTCATTATTGACTCAGACTGCAAACCAACTAGTCGCATTTGCGGGAGTTGCGCTCAAAAAACCTTTCTCAAAGCGATAATTTGAAGTGGCTGATTGGGGCGTTGCGTCTCCGCTTGTTTCTCCCGCCCGTCTTTGTAACAACGTGTCATCGGCGAGGAAAAAGAGCATACTGTTCTGTGAAAGGACAAAATCTTAGAAAGAAAGTTGGAAAAGAAAAATCTATGAACAATATGAATTTTAGAATATTAAGTGGTTGCGTTTTTTTTGATACACCCTGTATATAAGAAGGCTTAGGATTAGTAAGGAAGCATTTCTGACGAAGGGGCTGCGCCCCGAAACGTAGTATATATTACAAGATGTATTTGATTTGATTTAGTTTATTAAAAGTTTAATTTTTGAACACCGCGATGTGGTGAATTGAAGCTATATATTTAAATAGTTTTCTCTTTTGGACTGGCTCCTGATGTATATATATATATATATTTATCACATATTCGTGCCTTTATCAGGGCGATAACAGGGTGACATAAAAACGATATCGCCACTGATATCGCTTTTTGTCACTGATATCGCTTTTTGTCCCGCTGCATTTGCCGCTGTCAAAACAAAGATGGCTGACTCGAGCAGTTCGAGGTTTGTTTCAGTCGATGTCGATTGCTTTATAGAAGAAAAAGAAGTATGTGATAAACAGGTTATCACAATCGGGACGAGGTGATATCAGTTTTATCGCTTTCAGGACGATATCATAAATGTCCTTCGTTCGCTGCGCTCACTCGTGATATTTATGATATCGTCCCTCAAGCGATAAAACTGATATCACCTCGCCCCTCATGTGATAACCTATATATATATATATATATATATTATATATATTGCATATATCACGCCTTTTACAAGGTAGAAAATCGACATTTAGCACGATATTTATGGGCTGGGGACGTAATAACACGACGATTGTCTTCACTACTGGGCCAACAGATCTTGAAATCAACAGCTATATTTTTCTAACTTACCAAATTCTTCCCTTTCGCGACATGCATTATAAAACACTTTCACCATGCAGGATTCCAACCATCAATTTGGAAGTTGCGAGACCATTGTCGTCAGACTCGTCACCCCTAAACTATTTGCTCTTGTGATAATTGACGGTATTTTTATTTTACCTAAACATTTGTTTCAAATTCATAATGAAAAATATTCCTTTCATAGCTTAATCGATCCTTACGCTTAAGACACGCGAGAAGGCAATAACTACGGAGGAGCCTCTTCCTGGAAAGAAGACAAGAGAACGAAAAGCGAACGAAAAACTGCCCTGTCACACAATGGGTGCGACTTCAATCGTTTGACTTTTAATCGACTTTTAATCGTTTTCCATGCAATGGTTATGTCGTTTAATGTTTGTATATAAGCACGAAACTTGCTTGGAACTTTACATAGGACAAGCATTTGACCATTAAAACAGTGTGGTTATCCATATCAAAATATTTGACATCATAACCAAAGCATGGTTATATTGTTTAATGTTTGTATATGAGCGCCAAACATGCTGGAAACTTTACATAAGACAAACATTTGACCATTAAAACAGTGTGGTTATCCATATCAAAATATTTGACATCATAACCAAAGCATAGTTATGTCGTTTGATGTTTGTATATGAGCGCCAAACATGCTGGAAACTTTACATAGGACTAGAGACTGTTTTTTAGTATGAAAATGTCTCGATCGGCAGCAAAACGATTGTTGTTTATAGTTTACTAATACAAAAAATACGCCTATTGCCACGTTCTTTACGCACAATAACGTGCCAAAGGTTCTAAACTTTGATCTGATATTTCATTATTGAATGTGGCTTAAATATATTTTTTACTTTTAAAGCTTCATTGCCTGATTATATATATTTACACCATAATAAATATTCTAAGGGCGTTTTCCTTTATGCGGTAAAAACGGTCAGACCGGTCCTGTTGTATTTTAGTATACAGGCATGCAGATTACTTCTAGAGTGTTTTAAGAAACCTAAATTCATATTTAATGTTATTCACATCTGATCAGCAGGGAAAAAGTATTTTCACCGCTTCAATTTTTCACCATTTCAATTCAAAATACGACCGGGCTGACCATTTTGCCTTTTGGCCGCCTAATGGGAAGCGTGCTAATACAACTAAGGAACAATATAATAAATTTACAACTATTTTCACTTTTTTAAATATCATGAAGATATCCAAAACGTGATCAGTTCGAGTGATCAGTTATCCTGTCAGCAGTAAGATACAATATAAGAAGCATCTGCAACATTATAAGTAAACTCGAATTCAGTAAGTTTACAATTCTCACTTGTTAAAGCTTTATTAAGGCATTCAACACCTTGATCTGTTATCTTATTATCATTGAGGCTCAATCGAGTAAGTTTACAATTTCTATTTTTTAAAGCTTCACTAAGATTTTTAACACCTGAATCTGTTATATTAATGCAACTGAGATTCAATTCAGTAAGTTTACAATTCTCACTTGTTAAAGCTTTATCAAGGCATTCAACACCTTGATCTGTTATCTTGTTGTTATTTAGGTGTAATGCAGTAAGTTTACAATTTCTATTTTTTAAAGCTTCACTAAGATTTTTAACACCTGAATCTGTTATATTATTGCAACTGAGATTCAATTCAGTAAGTTTACAATTCTCACTTGTTAAAGCTTTATTAAGGCATTCAACACCTTGATCTGTTATCTTATTATCATTGAGGCTCAATCGAGTAAGTTTACAATTTTTATTTCTTAAGGTTTCAATAAGATATTCAACACCTTGAATTTTTATCTTATTATCATCGAGGTACAATTGAGTGAGTTTACAAGGTTCAGTTTTCAAAACCTCACTAAGATATTTAACACCTTGACTTGTTATACGATTATGACTGAGGTGCAATTCAGTAAGTTTACAATCTAAACTGTTTAAAGCTTCACAAAGACATTTAACATCATAATCAGTTATTCCGTTGGTAACAACCAAGTGCAATACAATAAGTTTACAGTTTTCGCTTTCCAAAGCTTTACTCAGATATCCTACGACTGTTAAATTAGAATAGTTGGGACCTTCTACATCACTTGTGTCATTTATTTCAAGCTCATCTTCAGTTTCATTATCGGAAGCTTCCTCAACACGCTCTGTCCGTTCTATTGCTTCGTAACGCAGTTCGGTCAATTGACAATGCTCACTTTTTAAAGCATTACAAAAGTATTCAAAATACTTCGAATATGTATATAACCTCCATTGAAAAAAGGTGACAGCGCTTCCTTCAGTGACGAAAAGCTTCTCCATTTTACGGTAGCTGTACTCACCCCGTATCTTGCAGTTCTGATGAAGAAGTAGTCGTTTTAACTTTTGGGTACTTCCAAAAAAAATAAACAAAGCGGCAGAATCAACTGGTGTGATAATTAGGTCTTTCAAATGCAGCTCTCCATGTCTTTTTTCCAAAAATTTACCAGAAACCGACTTCATTATATTAATATCTTGCATTTCGTACAAACACTTTATTCCAAGTAAAGCCATTTTGCTTTTACTGCTTTCCAATTTAAACACCCATTCCTCAAACCTATATATAAATATCAAATATAGATATACGCGATACTGAAGAGTCGACGTGTACATTATATGCTGATCTGACCTAATATGATATTATAGACATGTAAATGGTGTAATAATATAATGTTCTAAAGTTTTTAGCAATGAATGGCTAAAATTCGAGCGCGTCAGCCAGTCATATATTCATAGACATAGTATAAACTTTTCGGGATTTATATTTGTAACGACTTATCGTACATAATCAACGATTGTAAAGGTAGTTTTAGTTTTCTTGTATAAAAATTCTTTAGGTCATGCAAGCGGTCAAAAAGCGCCTAGTAACACTGTAACATGTGGCTCCGCCCATAGTTACATGTCAAATCGACGCTAAAATAACTCGAAAAAATGCACTGTGCACGCTCAATTGCAAATGGCGGTAAATGGTTTTCCGTGCAGGATAGCGTGATACTGCACGTGGGATATTGCGAGACTTTCGGAAGGCGTGATTGATTCCGATCGATTCTAAATAGACCTTTTCGGTAATTACGTCATAAAATTTAACATTGACAACGTTTAAATTTAGAACCACATTAAATAAAATGGATTTTAAGTTTTACTCTCAGGAGCCACGTGCAAAGATGCAAAACATCCTTCATCAACAGTCAACACATTTATGAAAATTTTTTTTTATTTTGACCAATAAATGTGGAAATAAGCCATAACACGAGAACGAGGCGCCAAGACCGCGAGCCTCGTTCCCGCGTTTGGCTTATTTCATACTTATTAGTGAAAATGAAAAAATATTTTTCGTGCACGGGTTATAGAAGGATGTTTTGCATCTTTGCACATAGCTTGTGAGAGTAAAACTTGAAATCCATCTCATTTAAGGTGGTTTTAAATTTAACGTAACTACCGAAAAGGTCTCAATGATTTCAATATTCCAATTCCGAAATTTACTTGCAAGTTACTTTCAGGGGCGCCGGAAGCAGTTTAGGGCGGCGGGGGCAGAGTTTTAGAAAAGGGCACATTCATTTTATCTTAGCAACCACACAAAGAGGAAACTCAAATTTACAAGTACATGCGAACTTGCAAATCCACGGGAGAACGCATTTTCAATAATATTACGGTTAGTTTTTATGCAAAAAGTAGGCATCATGATTAAATGTTGAATTTATGATACTTTTATATGGTTGTAAAGGGCACAGGGCTGCCCCCGCTCGCCCCCGTAAGCAAAGGGCAGGGGGGGCAGCTGCCCCCGCTGCCCCCGTGGTTCCGGCGCCCCTGGTTACTTTATAAGGCGCCGGTTGTTCTCTTAGGCCTAAGAAAAGCCGCACAGCTGCATATGACAAATTTCTAAAAAATTAGAAGTAGAACGCTGACTTTTTTGCTTCTCCTATTTTTGTCGTAATCAAAATGTAGTTCCACATAAAAAGAGGCGAATGCACTGGCCATTATATAGGTATGAAATAGGCTTTCCTTTGCAAGATTACCCTGAAGTAAATTAAAGGTAACTGTTCGCATTTTTATAGAACTTTGAGAAATATAATTCTATGTCGAGAAATTCCTAAACGATTAGAAAAGCTAGGCCAACATAATGTACTGTGCCCAGATCATGTAGGATAAAATGCCACAAAAAGGCAAAAAAAACATACCTGTTTACTATATCATCAAGGATTTTTTCCCTTCCAGAATAATCTTCACCACTTTTAATCTTATCTCCAACCAAACCAGCCACAAACTGTATCACCAAATACCACTTTGGATAAGGAATATGTGCCTCCAGGAATTCCTCAACATTTTGCATGCCATCATCAACCACCTTTGACGCAGCAAGAAACTCTTGAAGGGTCAAGTGTAAAAAGCAAAAGTAATTTCGACGTTTGTCTGGCAATTTGTTAAATAAACCACAATTGGCTAGTTCGCCAAACTCGTCCCCAGATTTTCGTTCGAAAATTAACCTTCCTTTTCTTATTCCATCCATGGCAATTTGTTTCAGCTTCTTTAAGTCATCATCGAGTTCTCTGGGATAAGGGGAGATCAGGTAATCATTTGGCCTTGGTAGCAACTTGTATCTTGGATGGTGTCTATACATTAAGACTTTAACTGCTCTATTGTATAATTCAGTAATAGTTTTTGGAGCATTCTTTTCCATTTCATCAAATTCAATGCTTTCTTTCAATGTTAAGCAGGCGATGTAACTATTTACTGGTACGTAGCACAAACTGCACAGTTCTGCTGAATTTTGAATTTGATTCCAAATCAATCCACCGGTGCGTTTATCATCCTTACAGAAGTTAAAAACGTACTCTTTGATTTCTTCATGAAAAAAACCTAGGATCTCCACAGTTCTCTTAAAACCTATGTTCTCAAAAAGATCTCCTGCTGTAGGGCGTGATGTGGTCAATACTGTGACGCCTTTCAGCAATTTACCTTTGATCAACATTCGAAAAATTGAAAACACTGGCATCTTGTCATTTAAACCACATACTGGGTCAGTATACGAACACAAAAGCTGTCCATCAACATTAAGTTCGTCCAATCCATCAAAAACAAGAACTACATTTGTGGGGTTGGTAAGGATGAAATAATACACACTTTTAAAGATTGTATCAGTCAGTCCTGCACCATATCTTAGCATTTCCCGAAGAGTAACAGTTTTGTTGTTTAGGACGCGAAATTGCAGACTGATAATTATCTTATCTTGCCAGAACTGTCCTTCGTTTTCTTTCCACTGATGTAGAAGTTTTCTCGTCAACATAGTCTTACCAATTCCAGGCCTTCCTATAACAAGTATGGTTCGCGGGTACGTTTGGTTATCGCCATCGTTGACTGGTTTAAATAAATCAGCAGTCCCTGTAAGCTTTGTGACTGATCTTGGAGTTTCAAGATGACAATTATAAATTTTCTGGCGGTCAAATTCGTCTGGATAAGCGTCCATTAGTTCCCGCCCTTCTTGAATAATGACATTTACATATATATCTTCAAGTTTTCGAAACGCCATATCAATGCCACCAAAATCATCCCTAAATTGGAATTGCTCTTGACTAAAACTCTCCCGTAATTTATTCATCAATTTTCTAACTCTTTTTCGCTTTCTCAGCAGATATACAGTGCAAAATTCTTTGTCAATCAAAAAATCCCTGTCATTGTAGGTTATCCACGCGAGGTAGCCAAGTTCTAAGAAGGCCATTATAACGAATAATACATCCCCAGCTGCAACAACTTTGACCAAGGTCTTACTTTTTGAGGCATTCGGATTAGTACAGTCGATAATCGTTAAGTTATACTGTGAGTTGTTGGTATCATTGAAAGAAGAAGTGACTTTCCCCCTTATTTCAGGTTGCCATGAACAAGGGAAATCCTCTGGAATATCCACTGGGCAGAATACCACAAAAAGAAATACCAACAATGGGATTATACGAGCGACGAAGAGATGCACGATATAAATAAAAAATGTTGACAAACAACTGCAACATTCACGAGCATCCCTCGGGTTTTGATAAAATAATGGTAAAACCATCGTGGGATTCTCCTCGTCACCACTATTAGAACTTAATGTACTGAACGAAATGTCAAATTTCTCAACACGATGTTTTACAAAATACGCATAGATTATACTCAAGGCCAAAACCACCATAAATTTATAGATGACCATACGTGACAAAGGCTCACTAAACTGGAATATATCTTTATAGTCTTCTGAACATTTCATCTTTATGTCCTCAAATGGAGTTTTATCCTCTGGCTTTAATTTGGTATTGTAGCAGTAAAATTTACTATCAAAATCTAGGGTGCGCAAGATGATAATAACCACGACGTCGAACAATATGAATAATGTGAGAAGAACAAAATTATAGGTATTGAAGCTCTTGCGTGGTAAAAGGTTGGAACAAGTCTGACCGACAAAATTTAGCATCTTGAAACCTGCAAATGAACATATTTTTAGTTTAATTTTTGTTCGTTACCTCTTTTACGCGAATTAGTGACATTATCCCCGAGCGGGCGCGGAGCGCCTGCGAGGGTAATAATTCCGCTCGGAGATTAGGAATTACACCCGGAACCCGGTAGAACATAGCCGAATCCAAAGTCACAGAATACCTAACAGAAGTGGAACTCCTGTACTTTTTTCGTAAGTGTGATTCGTCATGATTCGTCACTTAGCAAGTGCATTTTTTTGAGGTAGTCACCCCCCTGCCAATGTCTAAAATCAACCCATATTTAGTATTAGCAGGGGGGTGACAGCCTCAAAAAAATGCACTTGCTAAGTGACGAATCATGACGAATCACACTTACGAAAAAATAGTATAGAGTTCCACTTCTGTTAGGTATTCTGTGCCAAAGTTGTCCAAATTCTTTGTCATGGACGGTCGACGTTGGGTGGTTTTGTAAGTTATGCGCATGCGCGAGTAACATCTGGTAATCAACGAACGTTCTGATTGGCTAAGACAGAAAGTTTGTATTTCAATGAGAACGTCAGCAATTTATATTAACTGTCATTTCGTAAACAATTTTGTAAAAGCGTTTCATAAACTTTGTGCAAAGAAAGTAAAACGAGAAGAAACAAGATATATGAAGCATGACAGTTAGCAAAGATGAACGTGGATACGGTCAAGACAAAGCCGTGTAAGAGGAATAATTCATAATCTGCAAACTTATAAATGTTTTCAAAGACAAAGGGTACGTGTTTACTTTGTTTATTTCGTATTTGTTTCGCGATAAGAATGAGCCGTATTTGTATACTTTTCGGCTTTGTATGCCGTTTATTTGTTAAATTTTCAGCTTTTTATGCAAACGCATAAACCTGTGAAAGGCTATTACACCTTTGCTTTAACTTCAAAAAGTGTTTTTGAAAGTGTAATTTGAATTTTGGTATCAAAAATACACACTATATTTATAAAGTATAAAACTTTTAGCCGCCGGCGTCGACTGCAATTACAGAATAAAATAACATTTGAAGTTTTTTCTTTGTCTGTGAAGATTTTGTACTGTTTTAATCGTTTGAAACTTCGATTTTAAACCGTTTCTTAATTGCTGGCATGGTATAATGCAGCAAAATTGAACGGGCAATATTTACACTAGCTTTATGATTATTTTTGTATTGAATGATGGATCATTAGGTATAATATACTCGGTAAAATATAATAGGACTGATTTGAGTTTTGTGTCATTTCATAATATAAGTTTAGGTCAGGTTAACTCAGGAAATTGTGTACTTGGTTTGAAATAGCGAGGGGTTGCTGCATGCATGTATTTCTAGTATAAAATATCATTCAGGATTTAGTCCTAACAATGTATCAATATTAAGCATGCTACATCAATATGGTTGAGCCCCAACCCCATGGTATGGTAGCCCATTGGGAATGCTTTTATTTGTAGTAAAAATGGCTGTTTTTGTTCTGGTTCTTGTGACAGCCATTAAGATTACGAATTTGTCATTTCAAAGGTTCCTAAAATTCAATTCTCGCTCCCACAACTTGTTTTCAAAGTGAAAATATAGTCAGTATATAGTAAAATTATCGCAGATTTCATTTCTGATGTTATTTAAACTTAGTTGTAGGGATATTTGACGTATTTTTGGATTGTTTGAACGTGTACAGGGTGTCCCCCCAAAACACGCAATTCAATCTTTGGGTTTAAAGTAGGTCTGAACAGAGGTCGGTAAAGTTCGAGTTAAGCCTTTTTCGAGTTAAGCCCCGACCACGCCCAAGACACACCCTTTTTGCGGAGGGCTTAACTCGATATAGGAAGCACGATTTCATTATTCGAGTTTAGCCCCGGGGCTTAATTCGAAGTACGAAAAACGACTTTTGTTATTCGAGTTAAGCCCCGGGGCTTATCTCGATCTTGTCTAAGATTGGTGCTTCTCGAGTTACGCCCTGACTTTTGAAATATGTGATCAAGTGAAGTACACCTGGAAGTGCTAGTATAAAATATTACAAAAATAAGTAATATATCTAGGATAGTCAACAATATTTAGATAACGGTTAACAAGAACTTATCTATGAATGTAATAGTCAGCTCTATCACCGTTCTTTCAACAAACAACAAATCGCAAACAAGTATATTATTCATAAAGTGGGTATAAAAAGATAACGTTCGTGAATATTTTGCTTTTAGTTGTCGTATTTTACTTGGATTCCTGTATGCTGTAGGAGAGATAAATCTTCCAGTGTCAGCTGCGAATCTCTGTTGACGATAACTTCGTTAGGTGGGCCTTTAATATTACTAGCGAATGGTTTTATATTAAGGCAACGATTCTCTGCGCAGAAATGAAATTGACGACTAACGGCAAAACGTTTGCTGCGTGGTATGTATAGCCCATCGAAAACAATGAATATGCAGGTACAACAAGATGCACTTGTTCGAGTGTGACGCTTTTCAGCTCTCTACACCTGATCCGGTTCAGTGGGCTTTTTTGCTTCTAATACAGACTCTATTTCCTCGGGGGTTAGTAAGCCGGTTTGTTGACGCGTTTGGTAAATACACAAACTTATTCAGTATGGATCCTCCCCACAAGACTAACATATTTTAGAGTACACTGGACGAAGACCTTTTGATATATGAAGAAGAGTTGAAAAAACGAGGTTTTTCTTCGTCGTTAACAATTTGAAAGAAAACTGAATATTTTCACCATGTCATGGTTTCCCCCGAGAAACGTGTACATTTCCAGCGTGAAACAAACGCGTTCGGAATAAGTGTAAAAGAAATATATACTAGGATAGATAAAACACCGTTAAAGCTATTAATATTTACATCCCTGAAATACTAGAGATTCTGAATATCGATGTTGAATAAGTTTAAACGGCATGTTTTATACGATATTAACCTAGGTTGACAATCTTGTCAAGAACTTCACATGTTTTTAGCAAAATCTTACACAAGATCCTGCTACTAGAGTGGTTGGACACTAGAGTCAGTTGGGTAGGTAATAGTAGTTAGGTAATAGAGGGTTCACGGCTCGGAGTTTTTATTAAGGGTGGATACGGCTCAATTCAGGAGAATGTAAAGCATTCAGTATTTGAAAGTATTTGAATAAAACTATCGTCCAAACAAACCAGAGAAACACCATAGCATTTGAGCTGCCTAAGATTACTCTGGCACTTTCAGGTGTACTTCACTTGTTCACATATTTCAAAAGTCAGGGTGTAACTCGAGAATCACCAATCTCGAATAACAAAAGTCGTGTTTCGTACTTCGAGTTAATCCCCGGGGCTATAAACTCGAATAAATATGAAATCGTGTTTCTTACTTCGAGTTAAGCCCTCCACAAAAAAGGTGTGTCTTGGGCGTGGTCGGGGCTTGACTCGAAAAGGGTTTAACTCGGGAGGCTCAACTCGAAGGGCTTAACTCGAACTTTATCGACCTCGTCTGAACAAAGAAAGCTCTTTTGGCTATACAGTCAACTGTACCATGACATTATAGAGATAGTCTAATTGGCGTGCTTCGCGAGTCGTGACAAGTAGGCGCGACTTGACCAAATAACGAGCGACTCCAGAAGAAAACGTAAACAAAAACCCAAACAGACACGAATAATTATAATAACACATAATTTTTACGAATAATTATAGTCACCTTTACTTTCTGGTTACAACATTTTGTGCCATAGAAAAGAACAAAAAACACAACAAAATTCCAAACAACCTCAAAGACCATGATATAGAAACACAATGCGGATAGTAAAAAACAATTTCTGAATAGACAATTAAGATATCTTGAAAGTCAATAATATAAGATTCAAACAAGACACAGGTGTGAGGTTGAGACTTTTTCACAGTTCTGTGGAAAATTTACAGTCTCTGAGTCTCACTGACCCGTGCTTATTTACACTCTCCCCTTACGAAAAAAACACATGCAAAAACCACATGTGGAATCACATGTGACTCACATGTGAAATTGGAACCATTAAATCACATGTGGTTCACATGTGGTAGTATCACATGTGGACCACATGTGGTTCACATATGAGTCACATGTGGTTGAATAC